ATTTTCATTTTAAAAATATTCGCGCAGAATTTGCCGCCGAAACTCCTTGCTTTTTATATTATATAACGCAAGTAATACCAGTTATTTGTGCGTTTTAAAAAAAGCAAATTTTAAGAGTTATTGTTCCGAAAAAAATAAAGGCAATAATAATTTATTTATTTTTTGAAGTTTTATTTTAAAATGCATATGATAACAGTTATAAGATGATTTTTATTTTTTTTATGATAACTGTTACGGTCCCTGATTTTGAGTAATAAACAAAACATATGCTAACTATGGAAGTCTTTTATACAATATTATATATTAAAATGTTTAGATAATAAAAACTCTTGAGATTCGTAGTAGTATGTTTCTATAATTTTTATTACTTATAGAAGAGAATTTATCTAATTTGAAAAAATTTGCATAAACAAATTTTCCATAGCAAGTAAAAATAAAAATTTTTAAATATTTTCACCTAATTCATGTTTCATTTATGAATATTTTTTTATTTATTTCACAACTATATACAAAAAAATTTTTTTTCAATATATACCAAGAAGTAGTAAATAAAATTTCTCTCATCTTAGTATTTTATTATTCACAAATAATTGTTTTTCAAATGTTCATTAAAAATTTTGATAAATAAACTTCATTTAAGTAGCTTAATTATTTTAAAGTTAATGAGAAGGTTATAATATAAATCAAAAATAAACAAATTATAAATAAAAAAATTTTAAAATCTTCAAATAAAATTTCAACTTTATTTTATTTTTTTATAAAAAAAAAACTAGATTGATGTTCTTCTGTTTAAAATATCAAAGCTCTGGCAAATAAATTAAAGAGATAAATAATAATGCTTTATTGAATAGAATATATAATTTTATGAACTTGACTTAAATAGAATAGGGTTAAAAATGGTAGAAAAGCCTTATTTATTTTTTATAAATACAATCAAATTTCCATAACTCGAAGAAAAAGGTTCGACTTATGGAGACTTCGAGTTAAAGAATTGTACTTCTAAGTTACTCTCTAAACCCTGTTGCTCTTTATTTCGTCCGAGTTATAGAAAATTCGAGTTATAGAAATTGGTGTTATGGAAGTTTGACTTTATATATATTGTATTATATTTTTATAAATATATATTTTATAAATAAATAGAGTTTTTGTACCGCAGGTATAAAGCTAATATTTTTTGCCTGAATAAAAATTTGTTTTTTAGTGGTGTTTGTGACTATGAATGGAATCAAAACTAATTGCTTTAAAATTCCGTTTAGCAAAAGAAAAATAAGTTAACACTACACGTTACAAGTCTCATCTGGCAAGATTTATATTCTTTCAGATTCGGGCACGCCAGACAGTGCTATCATGTATATTATATACGAATATTGAAATCTATCCAAGATTTACTGTTAAATAAGCAAAAATAGTGTTTCCTTATGTAGAAAAGGATAAATTAGTTTTTTTTATGGTTCCTGAAATATCTTTACACTAGTGACATTTTTCGATTATTATTTAATTAATATTGGTATGTATGTGCTCTTATCAAATTTAATTGTTTTCATTTGATAAAAATGAAATCTTGTGTTCTCACAAGATAATTAGTCAATTTCTTATTTATGTTAAAAAAAAATAAGAAAAAATAACGAACTATTTAACAATAGTTAAATAACTGAAAATTGTAGTAGTTAAGTGAATTTATACAACTGTAGTTTATGCTTAAGTTCTGACCATAACACATTAGGTACATTAGTTTTGTATGTTATCATGTGAATGCACGGTTAAAATTTTGGTTTAATAGGGTTAAATCCTGATATTAGTAGTACAAAACTTTTATAAACAATTAAACCAATAAATGTTTCTTAAGACGATGTATACGACGATGGTGGATAATGATGATATCCGAAGTAGCTGTACGTTTAGCACAAAAAAATTTGCTTAAATTTGTTTAAATTTATCTTGCTATAAATGGTTTTCTATATGTAACATAATTCTTTTCTAATAGATAGTATGGTAAAAATTTCAATCTTGAATAATTTATATACGGAGTCCAAAAAAAA